GCAATAAGTCCACTAAAAGACCGCCCGCTCGGACTTCGAAATAGTGCTAAAAGTGCGGCAATAAAAATCACGGCATCGCATTGAGTCGAACAGAATCGTTAAATTTGTAGAAAATAGTGTGAAAACCAACATACACACATATAAGAGGTATAAGGTAGAAGGTACAAGGGGTATAAAGTGTGCGCGTGTGTATGGAGCTAGTATGAAAAATAAATGAAACTTAAAATGGCACTGGTTGAATTTTGGACGGCTTAATGCTTGAACGCTTGTACAACACAACCGAAGACAGTTTAATTACGGCGTGAAGTTGCGCACAGTCCGTTGTTTTGTATTCAGCCGACGAGCACATCGTCGCTCCGTCCCAGTCCTAAGGCTCGTTTCCGCGCCCGCAGTTCACAGCTCCACAAGCTGCCAGCATTTCTTACTACTTGGGTAGTTAAGCTTTTGGCTTTTGTTTCATAGACTTTTGTGCGATTTGTTACCCCAGTTTGATGGGGTTTTAATGCAAGCGTGAATCATAAAATCGCTGCTTGATGGTCTTGGTGTCAGTTAGTTACCCAGTACTGAGAGTCAGCCTTATAATAATGCATCGCAAATTTCCCACACGTTTGCCCTGGGGGATCAGGTGTCAGCCATTGGCAATTTTGACAAGCTTGCAATTATTGAGGAAATTATATTCTCTGTCTAATATTCTGCCAATATGTTGCCTCGATCGCCTCGCTAATGTCTCGTTATAATATAATAATAAGTAGCAAGAGTGCAGCTTGAAAATGTCAAACTTTATGAAGATATCTTGAAAATACCAAAAAGCTTTTGATTAATTTAATTATACCCTGAACCCATTAAAATTTGGATAAGGGTATATTTTTTTTGTGCGAAAGCCAAATGTATGTTACAGGCAGAAGGAAGCATCTCCGACCCCATAAAGTATATATATTCTTGATCAGCATCAATAGCCGAGTCAATCTAGCCATGTCCGTCTGTCTGTTCTTCCGTCCGTCCGTCCGTCCGTATGTATGAACGCAAGGATCTCAGAACCTATGTAGATGCTCCTTGCTCCCGCGCAGATCGAGTTTGTTTCCGATAATCGATAACTTACTCCGTTTTCTAGAGCTAGAGTCACCAAACTTGACATATAGCTTCTAAAATATAATATATATATGCATTTGATGTTGGAAGAAGAGGGTTTAGGGTATCCCTTAGTCGGGAGCTCCCGACTAGAACCTCTTACTTGTTTTTGCTAGTTCTTTTTATCGGGCAGCTATATAAAACGATAGTCCGTTTAATATCATTAATATATATTTGATTAATAATATTTATTGTTCAAAGGAAAACTATTTTTGACTTTAAAGAAAAGTTATATTTAGTTGCAGTGATTGATTGCATAGTCTAAATGCTTTCCCTTAACTCAATCGTTCCATCAATCTTTGAAATGCCTTGCCGGCGACTCAAGCATTCTCATTACCAGACAAGACATTTCATTAGTTTGCAATGACTAATTACTTTGAATTGCGATGGACTGCCAACATTTTATAGATCCACCGATCGAGGGAATTCGAGCTCAAGTCACTGGGCTGCAGCCCAATCACTCGAACAGCGCAGTCAATGCAAAATGCAAAATGCAAAAATGCGCCTCTACATCGAGGACCCCATGCCGCTTAAAGGCCCATCACAAGTCGAAGTCGGGGCCAAATGATCAACTGCTAACCAGTCAAATAAATTAATTGCAGACGAGTAGCGCAAAAATGCAGCAGGTATGAAAATTGCTTCATTAGATGGCCAAAAGATAATCAACAACAACAACAACGATCACACGTAGCTAGAGCTCAACCTGTGCCGTTTTCTTTCGTGACACGAAAACTCTCACGTGTTGACTGTTTAAAATAAAATCAATTTTCGTGCGTGATCTTGTGTTCGGATGTAAAGCACGTCGACTCTATAAACTCGACCATCAAAGAATTGATCAAAATGGCTGTAACTATCGATATTTATAGATATATTTATTATACTTTTATTTATTTAGAATTTCTTAAAGAAGAGACTTCTCGTACACCAGAAATGGATTACATTAAAGATAAGCCCATCTGTCTGACTCTGTCTATGTCTGAGTTTTCGAACTATTCTCCAGAATCTTTATATGTCTTAAGTGTTTATTGTATTGGATCAAAAATATATTTTGATTACAACACAGTTGGCTTAGGTGATATTTCAGCAAACCTGGTTGGATTCTCACGCTTTGTAAGGTGCCTCCTTCTATTACAGGCATTATGAAGCTGGGAGGATCAGAGCAGTATGTATTTCTAAAACTAGGCTACAGAAATATATTTTAAATAATATTCAAATATTTAAAAAAAAAAGTGTAAGATACGACGAACATGTTGAGATCGAGTTAGCTGTTGATGGTGACAAGAAATGTTTTAACTGTATCGAATTGGATACACCTCATCTGCCAGCTAGATATATATATGTGTACACTACTCTCTAAAAATATAGGATAAAAAAAAGGTCAACAAAATTGACCATAAAATGTGACAATAAGATTTTTAGTTTCGAAAAGAATTACATTTGACTTTGCAGGTGTCGCTTCTGATAACGATATTTCTCGTGTAGCATTGAGGGAAAACTGAGACACGGCCATCTCTACAGACAGCAGATCAGCTAAGTAAACGGCCAGCTGATCGCTTTATTAAGCCAAAAACAAGTTGGCAGCAACTTTGGCTGTATTTTAAATCAATAACCTGGCAATTAAAATCCATGCGGTGGTCCCATAACACTGCCGTGCCGTAACGCCGTTTAATAAAGTTAGCATTTGTATAATGTCTTGTCAAAAATTTATTGGCATTTTTCCTTAACGTTTAACGTTTAAACGTTTTATTTTGTTGTTGTTGTTGCGATTGTGATCTCTGGTATGCCGTTTAAAATGGCTTTAACTGACCGCCAGCAGCGATTGTGGTGGACATATTGTGCCCGTTGTGGGTTCCCATTGTCATTGTTGTTGTTGTCGTTGTTGCTGTTGTTTTTTTTTATAGAGGGGGGTGTGGACAATTAAAAGACATGAAGTGATTGCCGATTCGACGGCCATTTTCAGCATTCATTTGGCTTGATTGCTGACAGTTAACAGTGCGATTTGCGATTTGCGATCTGCGATTTGCGCTCTGATAAGCCGGCAATTGCATCGTTTTCACCTTTTGCCTCATTGCGAATTGATTAACTTATGCAAATGCTGAAATGTTGCCACAGATCTCGCCATCGCACACCCCCAACAGCGACGAGTCGCAACTGTGACAAAAGGCGTTGCCATGCACGTTGGAGCTCCTCTCAGCCAACCTCAAAGACCTCTCCTCAAAATTTGGCTGTATTTCTAATTTCCATTAACCGACAAAAGCGACTCTGCATGGCATGGCAAAAGATTCTCATGTTTTCCATTTTGGCCGGCTTCGAAGCCATATCGTCGACGGTGTCGGTGGATTTTCAATTTCTAATGTAGTGCACGTTACGCCCTGAAGGGATTTTTATTTTATACTTTTCGACTTTACGGTTTTATTTATTTATGCTAGAGCTTTGCTGTCACTGTGGAATGCAACGCGAAAAATATGAATAAAACATGTGAATGTACTTAATTTCCACTGCATTATGTAATTATCGGTAGATAAATTATGACAGATTTTTAAATGTAATAATATTTAATTTCATATATATTTTATATAAAATATTAATATCCAACTCTTTATTATTTGTCTTTTTTTTTGCATTTATTGTATTTATTAGAAAATTGTTTTTGCTATCTTAAAAGAGTCCGGCCATACAACTTCCTGCATAAGTTAGAATGCATTCCTGGAGACATCGACTCTGCTACATATGCGAGCTAGATCAGATCATATTTTCATATGGAGCTCAAAGAGACAAGGACACACTTCTTCAGCAGACGTGAAAAATGATTCGATGAGAAATCAACTCTACATAAGAATTCCATCCGTAGCTCAGATTCCCATGTGTACCCATAATTAAGCCGCCAATAAGTCTTTTTATTCTTAAGACCTAATTTAATATTAAAATCTTAGTGCAAATGAACCCTAAAATCGTTCCACTGTGCCGCCTCTTGGCGCCCTGTCCAAGGCTTCAGACGTCATTTGATGACAAACTTCAAATACAAAACGTTGCATGCAATATTTGTTGTTGTCTGCTTTATGATTACTGCCTGCTCCAGCCTGCTCTGGGTTGTTGTTGCTGGTGGTGATGGTGATGATGGTGGTGATGGTGGTGATGGTGGTGGTGCTGCACACTTTTAGTCATCACCATGTCAGCGGCGCAGACAGCGATCCAAACAATCAAAATGATATGCAAATATATGTAAGAGTACCGCTACGAAAAAGGCGTGGGTTAATTGTGACTTTATCATACGACGGCCAAAAGGAACAATGAAAATTCGCAATCGAAAGGAAAAAATCAAATTTATTACAAATTTAAGCATAGAAACCAACACGACAGCGGCCCTGGCAACGAGTTTGCCAAAGACTTCGACTGCGACTTGGACTTCCAGTTCGACTGCAACTGCAACGTCAACTTGAACGACGACGACGATGCGGCAAGTTATAGATTTCGTCATAGTTTCGGCAAGGCGAGAGATATGAAAATCTGTAAATAAACCTGTCAACCGACACCAACGCCAACCGACTGTGAACTACGAACTTGCAGACCGCCCAGTCGGCGGGTGGGCGGCGCCAAAACTAAGCCACCAAAACGGTGAAATACATAAAACACATTAACACGGCACTGGGAACGGAAATGGTCGCATGCATGTCAAGTTTTCCCATAGCAACCAGAAAGGCCCTGCAGTCGATTCGAAATTTGGACTGAAGCGTAACATATTCCAAAATTTAATGCAAACAACGGCATATGCTGTCTATGAGCTACAAGCAGTAACAGTAACTGCAACAGTGAAGGTAAACGTAACCGTAACCACGGCACAGCAGAGCACAGGTAATCGAGCCGCATCCATGTCAGACACACAGCTCCTGCCTGTAGACCAGACGAAAGCCGCGACCCACATATTCGGCATCGGTGCGAAAGGGCAGCACAATGGGGCCGGCGGCAATATCCCTCACCACAGCATGCATGGTGTAGTCCTCATTCTCGGTGCCATCGTTCAGCCGCTCCCCGCACAGTCGCACCGAGTTGACGGCTATGAAGTCGTCCGGGCAATTAAAGATGCCAGCGCCTGCCTGGCCACTGGCCACCAGATCGTTTTCGGCTGTCAAAGAAACGGCTGTAGACATATTGAATCAGAATCTTATAGACGTACCCTCATCCTTGTTGATCAGCTGAAAGTCGGGCTGATCTCCGCCTAGCTGCTCGGTTATGTACCTGATGCTGCACACACTTTTGGAGCGTGCTAAGCATACTGCATAGTTGAGATTGTTCTACAGATGATGGGCGCTTTCAATACCCGATTTGTTTATGATTTGTATGCGTTTAATTACCAGATAAGTGGCCTCGCGATCCTCCACAATGCTGCCAGCCACATCGTAGTTGAACGACTTGATTATACCCTCGCCGTCGGTGAAATATTGCAGGCAATTATCGGGCGCGAGCTCATCTTCAATTTGACGGACCATGATATTAAAAGATCGGCCACCGCTCGAGACCCTGACAAACACCGACAGATATACCTTGCTCTCGTTGGAGTCGCCGACATGCACATAAACTAAGGGATAGACGTGTATAGAAAAAAAAAAGAAAAACTAATCTTAGCCTGACTCACTATGTTGGCCCGTATTAATACCACAGAGTATGGGTATATGGAAATTGGCATTGTGTCCAGATATGATGAACTGATCATCTATACAATCACCATTTGTGGGTCGACTAAGCTGAAAAGCGAGGAATGTATGCCTAATTAAATTTAACATCGATTAAAATATATAAGAAACAGATCAATATCAAGCTGCTCTTGTCGAAAGTGGCCGACTAGCAGATACCCTGTTACCAAACGTCGTCTGACAAATATTACTTTTATGTTTATCACTGATTTCTTTATATAGTCAAGATAAGCATATTAATCGAGAGGGAACAAGAACGTACATTCTCGCGACTTCACACAGACAGAATGACAGACAGACAACAAACATGGATCGACTCAGTTCGTCATGAATAGAAATATATATATGTATACCATTTACAACCGCTTATAATACCCATTTCACTTATCTATATCACAGGGTATAAAAATTGCTAAGAAATTTCCAATTTATAGCTTAACTAAAAAGCATCGGTTATATAATCAATAGTACCTCGAACATTTGGAAATCCAGACGCAGCTGTTGCACGCCCTGCCCCACATTAATAGTGAGTACACAAATCATGGATTCGCGCACCGCCTGCGGATAGTTGGGACTCTCGAAGTAAACGGTCTGCTGGCTGGTAACATCACCGCAACCGTTAACAACTGAAAAGGAAAGCAGTTAGGTCTGGGCACCTGATAAACCACAAGCGAGTACATGATCACTTGTTCACTTTATGTTCATCTGGGCGGGTAGTTACACTCACAGATGCAGCAGGCGCCAACACCCTCCGCACAGCTCTCGGTGGGTATGCCACCCAAGCTCTTGCATTCGAATTCGTGATAGCAGACACCCTCCACGATGCGTATGTCGCCCATTGAGACGGAGCACTTGGTGTTGGGAAACTTGATCACCTCGAAGAGACTAAGGAAACCCTTGCCCTTGGGCTTGGGTGCGCCGGATTGTTTCAGTATAAGATTCGCCTTGATCGGAGAACCATAGATAAACTGCTTCAGCTTGTTTGCCAATTTGCTGGAAAAGCTCTGCGGCTGCATAATGGATGTGCGCGTGCTGGAGGGAGTGGGCGGCACAGAAGGTCTCGTCGAAGGTCTCATCGAAGGTCTTCGCGTTGGCATGGGGCTAGGCATCATATCCGTGCTGTTGGGTGTGGGGGTGGGTGGTGTTACAGGTGGTTCTGGTGGGGGTTCCATCGAAGTCGGACGCATTGGTATCGTTGGCTCGGGCTCATCGGGTCCCTCGGGAGCGGGCTCAGTCGGCACTACCGGCATCTCTGTCATTGCTGGCGGCATCGGCGGCGCCATGGTCATCTCCTGTTCCTGTTGTTGTGCAAAGCTTTGCGGCCGACTGCCCGGCTGATAGCGCAGCGTGTAGTGGTATCCAATGCCATCGATGGCCATGCCACCAAATCGTTGTGCCGATCTTGTGGCGCTGCCCTGCCTGGTCTCTTTCACGCCCAGTGTCACAAATGCACGTCGATCATCGGCGCCAGACACGCCCACATAATAGAGCGTCAAAACAAGAGCGCTTATCAACGCATCGCGTTTTGACAACATTATTAACGGAACTGCACTCAGCGACTGCCTGCAGATCGTCCCAAGATCCAAGCGCTGCTGGGGCTTCATCTGCCCCAGCCCCACTCCCAGCTTTCAGCTTCAGCTTCAGCCTCTGCTTCTGCCTGTTTTCTTTGGCTTTATTAGAGCATTAATTGTTTTACCCACCAACGATGTTGTCGGTTGTCATCGTTGTCATCGCAGTCGGCTTTTCAGCTTTTCAGCTTTTCCCACCTTGGCTGCTGGCACAACCTTCACTTTTGCAGTATTTTCTTGCAAACAACAAAGTCACGCTATTGTGATCACACATGTGGCCCGCACTAGGTGCTTGCCTCTTGTGGCAATTGCAATTGTTGCTGTTGTTGCCTTCTGGCAGCAACAATTGAGCTGCCAACAGCCCAAAAGCAATGTGAAATATTTTAGCAAATTGCCTCTAAACTGTGCATTTTCAAACAAAACTTTGGACTTTAACTTTGGGGAGGTCTAGGCAAAAGAATAAAACGAGCTGGGAAGATGAGTTGGCAAAAATAAAACGAAAGTCGCTGAAAAACCCAAAGAGCCAAATAAAATCACATACACATCTTTATTATGAAGAATATTTATTTCAAAGTTTATTTTGACTTAGGCTGCACTTGCCTTTACGACCATTTGATCGAAGGAACAGCCAGACAATTAAAATAAATACAACATTCTATTTACACAAGACGGTTAAACTCAGCCAAAAAAATATAATATTAGAATAGATTCTAGTTAAAGATATAAATAAAAGTTTTCATTATTTAATTTTACTATTTATAATGTGAATTCATTGCTATTAATGTATTTAAATCTCTTTATTAGAGATAATATGCTTGCAAGTTTATTGTATGTTAATACATTTTATAGACTTTGCCCTTTTATACTAGGTTTAAACATAAACACGACATGGAAAATCGCGTTTTGCCCTATTATAACTAACAGCTCATAATCATAATACTTAAAATTAAATGCCCGGATTATAGCTTCTTAATATCCCTCATACTTATACCCATTGAAAATGGTTAGACAAGGTATATATTATTTAATATTAGGGTAATGAGCTGATTTGATTTAGCTATGAATGAAAGCTTAAGGAAAGCTAGACTTGTAAAACGAGTTTATCCTATTTACAACTATTCCTATTTTCATATTAGCGATTAATATTGATTGATATGGATTATGCGACTATATTTTTCAATCCATAGCTGGAAAATTAGAAGCGCTAGATACACGAAATTTGTCTCATATATTGGTTCTCGTATGGTATTCCTTTTTTTTTTTGGATGCCTCCTTCATTCGCCACAATATTGAGAAATAAATACAATATTTAAAGGAAGAGCTTAGATGTTTGGAAGGAAGAGCCAAAATCTTTCATATATACTCGCTTTTTGCCATAATCAGACTATAAAAATTGTATAAAGATCGGACAATAAACACCAAAGTTTATCAAGATCAAATGTCCCAAATTGTGGAGCTAGAGTAAGGCGTGCATGTGTGTATCTATGTGTGATTTGAGTGTGCATAGAATAAAGCTAGAATGATTGTAACGTCAGCTGGTCACTGGGGCTAGGGTATCTTCTGGTCGGGCATATCCGATTCGGCTTTGTTTGTCAAGTGCGCAATTATTTATAATTTTGCCAAGCTGTTTAGATGATTCCAGCAACAATAAATGTTTACAGCTGCAATGGTTGTTGTTGTTGTTTTTGTTGCTGTTGTCGCTGGTGCATAATATTAGCAATTGCAGTTGGCGTTGGCAGCAGGCTTTGTCAACAATTAAAAACGTTAGCCTTGTTGTGCATGATGCATGTGCTTCTCCAGAGCGCTGCTCAGTTATGATGATCATCACGACGACGACGACGATGATGTTGATCAACGATTAGTCACATGCATGTGCATAAAATGCTGCTAAATGATTGTGATTTTGATTTTGATTTCTGCTTAAGACTCGAGTGCTCTTCGACTGGCTTTGCAATTAAAATGATTTCGATTGCATGACGGCAGCTGCCTGGGTAAAATACGCCAGCCTGAACGTTAGACATTGATATAACCTGATGTTACCGATTTGCATACTCAATTGCTAGCAATACTCTCATTAGGCATTATTAATTATGAAAGTTTTAATTGATTTCTAAATCGTCCGGTGTCCGCATTCGCATCGGCATCGAATCTTATGTTGCAATCGCAATCGATACGAGAAATGACTCGTCGTTAGCATTCAATTTATTTGAAAGTAATTGTCTCTAACGCAACTGACATCGATGGGGTATTTGTTGGTATTCGCCATGACGATCTCTTTATGACTCTGAGTTATTCAAGTGCTGAGGAGCACTCAACTAAGTACTACATGCTTACGTGTTGCGACCAGGAAAACAGGTTCGCATTCAATTTTATTGATATTGAAACTATGTATTCGTGAGTTATTATGTAACACATCAATGTGCAATAATTAAAGTGAGTGAAAAATGGTTATTTTCATTAATAATTATTCCTAGATACCAACTGAAACAACAGCATTAAAAGAATAATATTGTGTTAAGCTCCTGTGAAGGTTTAATCTAAGTAAATACAATTTTTAGTTCCACAGAGCTTTCCATATTATCACATAAGACGATGATGTTTACGTAGCACTCGAACTGCTGCTCCATCTCCATCTCCATCTCATCTCTCAAAGCTGGGAGCTTGAAATGTGCTCTTAGGAAACACGTACAGACAATTCCCATCCATTAATTGAATCAAATCGAACGTTACGCATGCGTCACGCCAAAGGACAAAGGGAGCCGCCAATGGTCATGTGCAATAACTGGGAGAGGCTCAAACAAGCGCTCTGCGCTCTGCCATAGATGATGACCAACATGATGTTCAACAGGCCAGACCAGGCCCGACTAGGCCAGGGTGTCCACTTCAGACAGCAGCATTGTGTGCACATTATTGTTATTGCTATTATGTTATGTATTTGTATGGGCAAAGTGGGAATCGCAGTTGGAGCGCAAGAATCCCCCAAGTGGGTGTAGGAGCTGGAGCTGGAAGTGATCAGTAAACGGGGTGCTGGTGCTGGTACTGGGCACTTGGCAACCGGCAAATCAAACCGTGGTAAAACCCACTTAATTGACATTTAGTGGACACTCGAATGCGAATTCAAATGCAAATGCTGCTGCGCAACAGCAGCTGCAGCCAAATGCAATCCGAGTGCCAAAGAGCCGCTGCGTTAAACGGCGACCGATGCACATCAGCTCTATAAGTAGTGTTCCTTTTCGACTGCTGTCCATTTCCCCAATGGGCTGGCATTCTAATGCGACTTTAGCCCCAGCCCCAGCCGCAGTCGCAGTCACAGCCACGCCAATGATGACGTTGATAATGAGCAGTTGCCTCCTCGTTGATGCTGCTGCTGCTGCTGTTTTTATACCCTTACAGAGGGTATTCGAATACTTTCATGTTGTGTGTCGCATTTAATAATCAATTACCTACTCTCTGAGTTTTTCATCACGAAATCCGTTTGTTACAGACAAAAGTCGGATCGGATTATCTGCCATAGGAATGATGCTCCGAAGGTAAAGTTCCTTTTTAACATGGAGAACTATAATGTTCTAATGAAATGGCTAATGTCATTAGCAATTACTTTCAATTATTTTATAATTATTTACTAGCTTCACTTTTTCCCGAAGATATTTGCAAATCCATATTAATTTGATATCCCATTTCTCACGTAGGAAAAATGTGTCGATATTTTACATATTAAATCGGCAAGGGTATTTACACCTCGTCTACCTGGCCAGGTAGATATCAGGTGATTGTTGTTGTTGTTCTAGCCATGATTTTCGAAGATGCAGCAACAGCGGCAGCAGACATCATTACAATATAATTGATGGGTTATAAACCGGTAACGGTAAATCGAAAAGTTTTCTTTTGCATTTCGGCTTTTTGGCCAACTGGAAGCAAAGTTTTCTTGCATTCTGTTTGGAAATTATTATTGTTCCGTTTGACAGCTCACAAGATGTGCGTATGCATGGGCATAGATGTGGGACATAATGCCACCAAATCGGGCGGAAAATGTGCACATTCGACATAGAAAACTACTTTGCATATGCGGCATCTAATTTGGGTGGCAATTGGCCAAAGCATTAGATAGCAAAGAATGCATTTATAGTGGATTTATCTATTGATCTTACTCCGTTGCAGTTTCAATGCCCGAGTCTTAGAACTTTAAGAACTCGACCTGCATGCCTTCTGAACCACATCGGGACCAATCTCGGCCAACCTCTATAAAAACCATTCGGTTCAATGTCATTTTTGTTGAAACAAAGACTGAGCAAAACGGTCACTGAAAGTGCATCGTTTAAGAAAAAACGTCGGAAAGTGGAAAACAACTTTTGCGGTTGCGGTTTTTCAGATCTTGTGTTTTTTTTTATTTTTGTTTATGTGGTCTTAGTTAAAATGCCGCCCAAACCGCAGCTGTGCCCGTTTTTTATTTGTTGCACGCTCCACGAGCGAGCAGAGCGACGATCAATTTGAAGCTTGCCATAAATGGTGCGTTAATTAAATGTTTTGTTATTATAATGAAATGGGCAAAAGTGTGGGCAAATGTGTGCTGACTGATGCGCTACATAAATAAAAAATAAACATTTCATTTTAATTTATTCAAGCCGAAACAATTATATTTGCAATTATCAAAAAGGTTTAGGTAAAAAAGATTAATTTTGCTTTTGTGTATATATTTGTTTATAAAATATGGAGAACATTTTCAAATAAACTAGCATAAGCTGGGATAGATATGGGATCTAGCATTTATATTATTACAGGAATTTATATCTGGAATAGCACAATAGCTGTATAAACAAGAGAATCCTGGGGCAACACAGTCGAGAATGTAGAATGTTACTTATAACTGACATTATATTCATTATATGCAAAATGAGAGCAGAAGTTTTACATACCAGCCCTTCTTTGCAACATCTTATATTAAGCTCGCTCTCCTCATATTTATTAAA